AAAAAAAAAAAAAAAAAAAAAAAAAAAGAACAAACAAAAACAAAACCAAACCTTCTTTGAATGCCTTAACTCTGTCAGTTGTCAGTTTCTTGTTAATTTCCCCTAATAGCATTTATGACTTCAAGAGAATCTAGTTTGAAACTTACACAACCATCAATACCCTAAAATAGATAGGGCTCTGAATGAAAAATGTAGACATAAAGTGCATTGCTTTTCAACACTTACCACCCAGTGCTAAGAAAGCAGTTTCATTTTTCAATTTGAGACCAGAGTTCAGAGTTCAGGATTTCAGAAGACTGACCTCTGTCTACCTGCAGTCTTATTTTATTGGGCTTTTTTTGTTGTTGGTGGTGGTTTTTTAAGACAGGGTCTAGCTATGCAGTTCAGGGTGTGTCCTTGAACTCATTACTAGTCCAGGGTGCCCTCAAGCTCTCTCCTGCTTCAGCTTCCTGAGTGCTGGGATTACAGGCATGTGCCACCACACCTGGCTTGTACTTTCTTAAATGATATCAAAATACCCCTCAAAGTAATTTATACTCTTAAATGATTAGTTTTAAACCATAAAATAGATAAATAAATAAATCATGCTGATTCCACAAGCGAGCCCAAACTGGATGTGGTGGCCCCCACCTGTAATCCCAGAACTTGGGAGGCTAAAGCAGGAGGATAGTTTGAGGCCAGCCTGGGCTACATAATGAGTTCAAGGCCACCCTGATCTACATATGGAGACCCTGTCTCAAAACATAAACAGAAAGGGCCAGGATTTAGCTCAGTGGTGCCACCGCCTGCCTCAAAAGCCCAAGGGCCCCATTTTGACAAAAACAAAAAACAAAACAAAAATGAAGTGAGCCCATATATCTCACAGGACCTAAATATAGACCTGTCCTACAGTCATTTACTAATAAAAAACTGTCACCTCCACATCATTTTTGTATACTACTAGTCGTGCATATTTCCCATTTTATATATTATTCATCATAAATATGTCCTTCACAAAATCTTTGCTTAAATTCTTTCCAGGTTCACACATATTTCACAAGCACAAACAGCACAAGGGCTAAAATGGACTAGAGTTAAGGTACCCAGGAAATTAACCAAAACTTAAGAACTCACTCCTTTAGTTTCAACACCACAGGATATACAGTTTTCATTCTTAACATTATGGTGAGTAACTTCCCCCTATTTGTATAAAAAACCAAGACCAAAATAAATCGTTGATTCTCCAGGACATTTCCTGTTCCTGAAGTCAGTCTGTCTTTCTTTCTTTCTTTTTTTGACAGTGTCTCGTTGTGTAGCCCAGGATGGCCTTGAACTCACAGCAATCCTCCTGCCTCAGCCTCCTAAGTGCTGGGATTCCAGGCCTTTGCCACCATGCCTGCCTAGCTTTTTTTTTTTATTTTTAAACTTTTCATTCGTATCAGTGAAAACGAACAACAGTAAAATTTCTCATCAAAACACAGCATTTAAGTGGCCTGACCAGCTCAAAGCTGAAATATCTTCAGGCTCAGGTTCTGCGTGTCAGAGGCACCAGAAGCTCGATACCTTTGCCCATGTGTCCCAACTGAGTTAACAATTCCTGACCTGAGTCTATCAGGGAAGGCAGGCTTGTCAACAGATTACAACACAGGCAAAACCAGAAGTGAGTAGTTAATGGCTCGCGCTGCAAAAAGCGCGAGCTGGGGTACATGTCTACATTCCTCAAAAGGTGCCGGCTGGAAACCTGTTGCATGAACTGAATCTGCTAATCGAAGGTGAGGGAGGTCCCTAAGGAGACGTCAGCAGCTGCTTCTGGAAGCCACCGAGCCGCCTCATCTTCCGACAGCTGCCATCCAGGCGCCAGCCTCCGTCCCCACCTGCACCCCGGAGAGGACCTCACCTGTACTGCCAGCCCTTGGCACTGCCACCCCTGCCGCCGCCGCCGTTCTTGCCGCTCGGGGTCCCCGCGGTGGCCAGCGCCTCCAGCCTCCCCTCGCTCTCGGAGACTCTCATCGCGGACACCGGCTCGCCGCTCTGCATCTCAGCTCCTGGGTCCACCTGCGCTTCCCGGCCGGACAAGTCAACTCCGTGCAAGAGTTCCGTAGGCGCCTCCTCCTTCTCTTTGAGACCCTGATGTGATGATCCTAGCCGCTAAATGCGACGGCGACACGAAAGGGGACCGCCACTGGCCCCGGAACGGAAGACACGCATCTCCGCCGAGTTAAACTTTCAGGACGGCGGGGGCGGCGGTGCGGACAGATACCCTTTCCAGGCACACGGAGCTCTCTCCCTCCTGGCGAAAGCAAGGAGGAAGGTGTCACCCAGCTAGAGGACTTGAGAGGAGACGCGGGATCCGGGGCGAAGGGCGGGCGGGGACCTGCGGCCTGGCCTCGGCGGA